TAAACTTATTTGGTGTACACTACTGTGTTATTTGTTGTGTAGTGGAGACAAAATGTAGGTATTTTGCCTCCACTACTCAACCGGGCACACAAAGTGTTGATGTCCGGGTGCCGGTTGGCCAGCCAAGCCACCGTTAATTTAACGCCAAATCGATATGCTTACAAAGGTCTCTTACGATTGAAGTGAACTAAATATGCACCCCCAACCAAGGCAGCTGTGCCACCCTTGAGGTTTTAGGATATCCTATGTATGACGTGTTGTACATAGTTACTTAAGGTGGTATGCATGGACAGCTTTAAATTTATACAAAAACGAAAACGAACAACTAAACACGGCGAGGGCTGACCGTGGAATGCTTTGCCCTACTAACGATCTCTACTTACAAACCAGAATCCCATAACCCTCCGCGCACCTCGCACCTAATTAGGATTACCACAAATTACATGATCCAATGGTTGGCGATGCGACATGTTGAAATTTCAGTCGACGATTTCATTCGGCTTCCTCAATTTGCCAGGAGCAAAACTGAATGTCGCAGGTTTGCAACATCTTGAATAATCTTTGCTCTGAATTTGTTTATCAAGTTTTCGTTTAACACCGTTTGAAGGCAAAATTATTGCTGCGTAACAAATCAAATTATTTAAGATATGATGCAAGAGTCAATATTTTGATTTAAGTTCATTGTAGCTGATGATTGTTCTTTGCCACGAGTTCTGCGCTCCGTTGGAAGTCGCTGTCAACCTATACCAGCGTGTACTCCAAATTGGATTATTTTTCCTTCAACTTGTTCCTTATTTTTTATAGTCCGGTTACCTCGGATTTAAGTTGTCGTAACAATCCGGGATTGGGCCGAGTCTCATGGTTTTACGATTTAGTTTCGTACATTTTAGACGTTATTTTTAAATTGAGGTGGATTTGTCTAGGGGCTGATAATATGATTAAGGACTTACTTTTATTCAGTTGCTTTTATTTTAAGCGTCATTGCATCGATTATAGCAAAACAGGCACTACGCCCAATTTGAAAGAGTCCCTTTTAGTTCGATGATAGCGAAACTCCTGTAGGTTGAAAGTGGATGTTCCAAACTATACTCGATTCCAAAAGACATGCACATTGTTAAACAAAAACGAGAAATCCGATGGATTAATCCTTTTCGATCTGCATTTTAAGTTTTTTTTGTGCAGCGTTGAAATCAATTTCAATTCTTGACTTCTCTCTTGAATATAACTGAACAACTTACGCCAAATATTTCACACTATGTTTTGTCTTGTTTTGACAGCTCATTTTTTGTCAAGTGCGACCAGTATGTAACCGCCAAAGGAGGGGAAAACTGTGAGAAAATACAGACAAAGGTGACATCAGGGACGCAGCACCCACACATACAGCATAGGGTTTGTAGAGGGAAAGAGTAGTGAAGTTTCAATGTCCGTTTACGGAAAAGGCTGTACCAACTGGTCTCAGTGTATTGCTAAATCAGTTAATTACAACACACTCCGCAGAACATCTCGTATGCTGATATGGGTCTGACGTTTTAGAAAAACCTTTTTAATTGGACAATAATTGCATCTTTGAAGTCAATCAATATCGACTCATTAAGAACGTCAACTTCGGGGGAGAAAGTGATTTTACTTATGAGTTACACTGGCTTATCACAAGTCAGTAGAATAACAATCACACAACAGTAAAATATCAGTAAAGAAGAAACTCGCCTGGATTCATCAAGATGAAAACACTATTTTTCATCATTCTGACCGTTCTTATTACTAATGGTAAGTCTTATAACATAAATCACTGTTGAAGAGATATTTCGTGGTTCAAAGTCGAAGTTAGTGTTTCCTTACAGTTAGTTTTACAATGAGAAGGCAACAAATATGCAGCTGTGCTCTGGTTGGTGTCGCGTACGTGTATCATGAGTCAGTGATAAAATCGTGGTTCGGTAACTATCTCAAAACAGAGATGAATGAGAATCTTAACGTTGCTGTCTTTGCCCAACCCCGATTGTCCAAAGTTGAGACAAGTTAGATGTCTAACCTAAGCAAAGACATTTCTTGAGGCAACCGTCCTAATTTGTGTTAGGTTATGAAAAATCAAAGGGCAACCGCAAAATCAAATAGCAAATGAGCTCGTAATCTCTCACGACTTGCCTCCAAAGAAAAACAGGAATACCTTATTGACTTAACAGTTCTCTAAAACATTATCCAATTGAGCGCGACACTCCTACAGCAATACTCCTATAAAAGAATACGTAAAATATGAATACTGCATCCGTTAAGTTTGGCGTTTATGTGTAAACTTTATGGACAATTTGCCCACTGAACCGGAATCACGTGCTCTCACTCACGTAACAAAAAATATATAAGACGAAAGTATATTAAAAAAAATTCTCAAGTTGTATTTTGATACTACATAAAAAAAAAGAAAATTGAGAGGAATACGTGTTTTTAATCCCTCATAATTCGATTGCAAAACTGAGAAACGGGAAGGCTTCTCTTGTTGATAACTATGTCAACTTGCTACCCTCTGCATTTTATATCAGCATCACTGTTTTGCCGATTCGTCGGCAGTCAAATACGTGTAAAAATATAAGCCTAGGCGGTTTTTGTCCTATCCATGACAAATTTAAAGTTATTAATAAAACGTCATATCATTATGCAAAACTCATGAGATTTTTGTAATACTAAATATTACCGCTTTCATCTATAATCACGCATTTGTCACGAACGTGAGTAATAGAATGACAGGTTCAGTGACCTTAAAAATTTTGTTGATAAACTGGTTGACATCACTTTATTTGACTTCTTTGTCTTTTTACTCAGCCCAGTATTGTCCCAGACATGATACACTTTAGTATACTTTAATCATTTTTCATAGGGAATGCCCTCCAATGCCGGTCGTGCTTTGCTCTAAATAGTTGGGAAAACTGTGACAACGTACAGTTCACGATGACCTGTCCGCCCGGTTACGACCGTTGTGGAAAAGGTTATGTAGAAAGAGAAGGTACTGGAATTCATATCGAGGGCTACAGTAGAGGCTGTATGAACGCCACGCAGTGCAATCCTGCAACAAATACCGCGTGTAATCTGGATGATGGGTCAACAAAAGTCACCAAATGTGATATCTACTGCTGCCATGGCTCCTTGTGCAATGGAACCAAACTGCCAATGGTCAGCACCATAATGTTTTTGGCATGCGTTTTTTTCTGTTTTCTTTTTTTTATTTAGTTGATTACAAGGTGTGGTCAACCATCTGATAGTTTACAGTGGCGATTCGTTACATTTAAAATTATATGTCATAATCCTTTTTCCAGTTGTTGTGAGCTCCAGCAAACTTTTTTTTATATAGAGTTTCCTCAGTAAGACTGCTTTAGCAAAAACTGTCATTTACAGCAGTTGTTCTTCCGCCGCTGAATAAGCCTATTAGACGGACGTTTTACTTATCATCGTGCGATCCGGAATTATCTACTCATTTAAGCTTACTTTGCCCGAAAACGCGGCAAGGTATTCTACTGTAGTTTTAATATCAAATAGTTGCTGTTATTTCAAGAAACCAAAAAAAAAGCGATTATTATTAGCGAATCATATGTCTTCCGTTGATGATCCTCGAGTAAACGCCCTTTAGAGTGAGAAGCAAAAGTAAATCCATGATCTTGTTTAACGTCAGAACTAACATTCCATGCCGTCAGGAATTTTAAAAGTCCCCTCAGCCTAAAGACCGTTTGTAAGAAGAAGAGACTTTTCCGATTGTTAAGCATTTTTCAGATTCTTTCAGTTTGATCACTTCGCCAATAGGTCATTTCAGTGACGTAATTAAATAATTTACGTAATTTACATAGAAATAAAAATACTCTTAAGCGACTCAAACATGTAGTTATTTTACTTCGTTGCCTATTGTTTTGTCGTACCTCAGTTCGTGCAGAACTTCATGTATTGTTCAGCAGGTTAGTCATAACTTTGGCAGCAAGGCTGTCGTCAGTAGGTGACTCGGAGAGCTGGGGTTGATAGTATTCACCAATTTAAGAAAGGAGTATTACCAAAGTTGTAAGCATTTTGTCAGAAACGACGAGCAGCCCTACCATCCGAAAAGTATGCTTAGGAAAGGAACCTTCGTCAGTATTTTCCTGTCTCGATTCTTTCGTGTGAATAAATGACATTTTCCTATTAATAGGTGACCCATGCATCTTGCCTCGACACGTTTCTCGATATTTTACGTCCGGTGACCAGCATTATTTGACACTTTAACGCCTGGGTTTGGGGGGGGGGGG